TAAACTACTGGAATTTATCTCAGCAATGCTAGGTTGGTTAAATATTTAGAAATCAATCCATGCAATTCATTATATTAATATACTAAAAAAAAAGATACTGTATATTATATGATCATCTTGATATATGCAGACAAACATTTGAAAAATATTCAACATTTGCTCCTGACAGAAAGCCTCACAAACTAAGAACAGAAGGGAATATTTTCAATTTGATAAAGAAACTCTATAAAAAAAAAACTACTTTATGTGAAAAACTGAATGCTTTCTCCCTCATATCATGAAAAAAACAAAGATATCCACTTTAATAATTTCATTTAATATTGTATTGGAAATTTTAGCTAGTAAAATAATGCAGTAAATAAATGAGTGAATAAATAAATAAATAAATGTCATCCAAGTTGGAAACAAAAAAGTGAAGCAGTCTTTCTTTGTAGACAACATGTCTACAGCTATGAGAATAGCTACTGGAATTAAAAAATGAGTTTCACAAGCTTTCTGGGTGTAAAATCAGTATACAAATTTAAATATATTTCTACATACTTTAAAAAATACCCAAAATTGAAATGAAATATCAAATTCAACAAGTATAAAATTTGTTGACTGAAAAATACCAAATATGATTCAAATTAAAGATCTAAGTAAACAGTGGTATATCATTTCATAAATTGGAAGACTCACTATTGTTAGGGTACATTATCTTCAAAATACCTGCAGATTTAAAACAATCCCAATGGTAACACAATTGTAGATAACTACTTATGTAGAAATGGGCAGGCGGATTTTAAAGTTTATATAGAAATGTACAATATCTAGTAAAGGTAATATAACTTTGAAATAGAATAAAGAATACAGATGGAACCTGATTTCAAGACTTACTATAAAACTGTAATATGTGGTACCCACATAAAAGTAAAGAAATACCTCAGTTGAACAGAGTAGGAATTCTAGAAATACAGCTACACATGGATGCTCAGATTTTCCGAAAGGTATAAAGATAATGGAGAAGAGAATGTTCTTTTCAATAGTGATGGATAAAATGGACATTCACATTTCAGAAAATAAGCAAAAAATATTTGAAAATGGATCATAGGCTTAAATATACAACAAAAATGATAAGAGTTTTCAAATATTTTAGACAAAGTATTTATGATTTTTGGCTAATTTCTTAGCACACTAAGATCACACTACAAAAGAAAAAAGTTTGTTAAACTGGGCTGCAGAAAAATGAAAAATATATATTCTTTGCAAGATAATGTTATGGGAATGCAGAAAAACCATACACTTTGGAAAAATATGTGCAAGTGACATATCTGATAAAAAATACGTGTTCAGAACTGCTAAAACTGAATAAGAAGAAAACAAATTCACCAAATAAACATGGGCAAAAAATTTGATAGATTTAAGTAAATACTGCAACAAAGAATATATATGGATGGCAAATAAGACATGAAAAGATGCTCTACATCAGTGCTCATTTAAAAAGAAAAACAAAACAAAAAACCAAACTCACTGCCATGGACTCATTGCGACTCATAACTACTCCTCCTTGGGTTTCCAAGGTGGTATCTCTACTCCTTCCTAGGAGTGGCTGGTGGGTTTGAACCACCAGCCTTCTGGTTAGCAGTAAAATGCCTTAGGCACTATGCCACCAGTGCTCATTGTTGTTGTTGTTATGTGCTTTCAAGTCGGCCCTGACTCATAATGACCCCTCCATGGGTTTCCGAGGCAGTATCACTACAGATGTAGGATTGCCCAACCTTCCTTCCGAGGAGTGGCTGGTAGGTTTGAACCACCAGCCTTCTGGTTAGCAGTCAAGTGCCTTAGGTCCTATGCAAACCAGTGCTCATTAGGAAATGCAAATTAAAATCACAATGGGATACAATTACACGCTCTTTGGAATTGTAGAATTAAATAGAATGACCATAACAAAGATCTGGAGCAATGAGTTGGAATTGACTTGATGACAATGGATTTGATTGTTTTTTTTTTTTTTTTTCCTTCATATACCTCTGGTAAACCAAAACCAAACGCACTGCTGTAGAGTTAGATCTGACTCATAGTGACCCCTCTTTGGGTTTCCAAGGCAGTATCATTATGGAAGTAGATTGCCCAACCTTCCTTCCCAGGAGTGGCTGGTGGGTATGACCCGCCAGCCTTCTGATTAGTAGTCACATGATTTAGGTACTATGCCACCCGAGGAATGTAAAATTTGGCAACCATCGGGAAGTTTCTTAAAATTTAAATATATATTCCACCTCTAGATGTTTACCTAAGATTTTTTTTTTTTTTTAAATGCCTATGTCTGTTCAAAGGAGCCCTGATAGCACGGTGGTTAAGCACTCAGCTGCCAACCAAAAGGTTGACTCTTTGAATCCACCAGCTGCTCCTCCGGAGATGTGGCAATTTGCATCTTTAAAGATTTGTTATTCTTATTAGGTGCTCTGGGGTTGGTTTTCACACCTAGTGACCCTATGTACAACAGAACAAAACACTGCCTGGTTCTGGGTCATCCTCACAATCACCATTACGGTTGAGCACATTGTTGCAGCCACTGTGTCAACCCATCTCATTAAATGTCTTCCTCCTTTTTGCTGACCCTCTACTTTATCTGGGAGCTCTGGTAGCATAGTGGCTAAGGCACTTGACTGCTAACCAGACAGCTGGCGGTTCAAACCCACTAGCCACTCCTCGGAAGGAAGGTTGGGCAATCCTACTTCCGTAGTGATACTGCCTCGGAAACCCAAGGAGGGGTCGCTATGAGTCAGGTCTGACTCGACGGCACATAACAACAACTACTTTATCTAGCTTAATATCCATTTCCAGGAACTGGTCCCTCCTGACATCATGACTAAAGTATGAGAAGTTCTTTTGGTTAGCTAGTGCCGCTCTAACACAAGATACCACAAATGGGATGCTTTAACAAATAGGAGTTTATTCTCTTACACTTTTGGAGGCCAGAAGTCCAAGTTCAAAGTGCCAGGCTCTAGGGGCTGGGTAAAAGCCCCTCAACCTGGGGCTTCAGCTCTGCCTCTTGCTCCCAACCTATTGAAGCTGGAAGCTTTTCTTCACTCAGGCAGCTGCTGCTGGCTGCTGAGGCTGACAAACCCAAAGTTAACAAATAAATTGTCACAGTCCTAATAGAACCAAACCACCTGGCAGGCCTTTGATTCAAGTCCTGAAAAAGTCCCAAGATTGGCAGGGCAGCAGGGCAACATGGCAGGCTGCTGAAAAATGACTTGGCTACATGCAGGGTTCAAGTGTGCCATACACTGGAGACCTTCTTCAAAATTGCTTCTCATATACTGGATACAGCCTACATCCCTAAAGCAGCTACTCAGCTGCTCTAGTAGATTCCACCATGGAGTTAATTACCCATGTCACCATGGGGAATAACTACATCCAGCTGTGCAGCCACACCAGGCCTAAGCAAGTTGACAACAACCTTAACTACCACAGAAGCAAAGTATCACCATCCTCGTTTTTCAGGAGCTCTCTGGTTGTCTTTATCCAAGACGGATTTATTTTTTCTTCTGGAAGTTTATGGTTTATTCAATACTCTTTGCCAAAACCATAGTTTAAGTGCATCAGTTCTGTGGTCTCCCTTATTCATTGTCCACATTTCACATGCCTACATGGCTTGGGTAAGGTGTACCTTAATCTTCAAAGTGACATCTTTACACTTTAACACTTTAAAGAGGTCTTCTGCAAAAGATTTGCCCAATGGAATATGTCATTTTATTTCTTGACTTCTGCTCCCATGAGCAAGGAACTTGGGTAGCATAGTGGTGAAACCATTCAGCTGTTAAGGAAAAGGTCCAAAGTTGAAACCCACGAGCTGCTCCAAAGGAAAAAGATGAGGCAGTGTGTTTCCATAAAGATTTGCAGCCTTAGAAACTACAAGTCAGAATCCACTTGATAGCAATGAGTTTGGTTTTGGTTTTATTTCTACGGACTTTGATTTTGGGTTCAAGTAAAATGAATTCCCATAAAAATGTATAACCTTGTTGGAAAACCTACAAGGCAGTTCTATTCTGTCCTACATGGGTGGTATGAGTTGAAATTGACTTGACAGCAAAGGATTAAACAGCTTTATTTGCAATAATAAACAAATAAAGAAAATAGCAACAAAGCAAAACCCCCCCCAAAAAAAAATCCACTGAAAACAACTAAATTGTTCTTCAGCAATGGATAAGATAATAATTATGGATAAAAGAACAGATAAAAATAATTATGGCATTTCCATACAATGCAATATAACTCTACAGAGAGAGAAAGTCTGTAAAATTTGGATGTATTATTATAAATAATTAATAAACGATTAATAAATAATTGGATAGAAATCTGTAAATAAATGGATAAATCTGCAAATAATTATGCTCAGTGAACAAAATGAGTACATACAATATGACACCACTTACATAAGATTTGAGAAAATGCAAATCAATCTATCCAAAAACCAGATCCACCACCGTTGAGTCAATTCTGACACGTAGAGACCCTTTGGACAGAGCAGATCTGCCCCATGGGGTTTCCAAGGCTGTAAATCTTTACGGAAGCAGACTGCCTCATCTTTCTTCTGCAGAGAGGCTGGTGGGTTCAAATTACTGACATTTTTGTTAGCGGCCAGATGCTTACTTAAACCACTGCACCAACAAAGCCCCTTAAACCAATCTATAGTGCCAGCAAGCAGATTGAGGATGGAAGGAAGCAGAAGGTAGAATTACAAAGAAACAGAAGGAAACTTTTGGCCATAGTGTTTCATTATCTTGGTAAATTTTTTCTGGATATATACAGATGTTAAAAATTATCAAGTGTACACTTTCAATACATGCAGTTTCTGGTATGCCAATTATATCTCAAGAAAGCTTTTAAAAATATTTATGAAGATATATATTTGTTTGTGGGGAGATTGGGCTTCTGTCCCCCTCCGAGAGATCTCATGCATTACTGTGGCAAGGTTCATGCAACCTACCTGGCTAAGAGAACTAGAAGCCTGTGGTTTAGATCTGGACAGTGGCTGCAGCAGGTGTGGCTGCAGCAGGCTCAGTGGCCACAGGTTCAGCTGCTTCAGGTTTGTCTGCAGCAGACTCAGCTGCAGGAGATTGGGCAGCAGGTGCTGCAGATGCTTCAGGATTATTTGAAGGAAGGATGGAGGAGGAAGGCCCAGTATGTGCAGGGGGAGCAGGAGGAGGAGGAGGAGGAGGGACCAACAAAGTAGCTGAGGGAAAATTAGGAAAGGGATAGAAATAAGGGACCCCAGTAGGAGTGAGCACCCAGGGATATGGAGGTACCTGTGCACTAGGGTTAGCAAAGTCAGGGTATTTGGGAATGTTATTCTGTGAGGGATAGTAAGGAGGAGGGAAATAATTGGTTGGCGGGTGATAGGGGCTATTCAGAGATGGATTAAGTGGGTTATGATGGTAGCCAATGTAATCCTAAAGAAGGAAAGAAATCTATTAAAGTTAGTTATGTTTAGCCTATTTATATGTCATTCATGTTATTACTGTGATTACATACAATAAGTGATTATAGAATGTTTTTGAATTCCAATGTAGTCCTTTTCCTAAGGTTAAGGAGCTTTGATACACTTTGGCTAATGATTTCTTAAGAAAATTGAGTAAACCGTATTACAGGGAAATACTTTGTGTTTAGGCAAATAGCACATTAGAGCCTGTAGAATTCGCCAGCCCAGGTCAGCACAGATATGGAAGGAAACAGATTGGTGCTTCCAGGCCTCCTTTTTGGCATTACTGGCCTCCCATTGCCCTCAGTTTCCTCCAGGGCTCTAAAGTGCTGAATTGAAGCATTTACTTGGTTATATTTCTTCTTCCAAGTGTCTCATGTTCCAGATTTGTCCTTCTGAAGTCCTCCCCACCTTGAATCAAAGCTTCCTCTCCTTCAAGGCCAAACATTTTAAATTTTTATTAAGAGGGAAAGCAGAATGGATGTGGATGACTGACTTTCATATTTAATTTTCCCTATGATATTAGTGTTATAAATGAGGAGCTTATTAAAGTAATAGATGCATTTATTACCAAATTTTAAAAGATAGCTTTTAGTAGAAGGACTTCCACATTTTCTTCCAATTGGTTTAGGTTTGTCAGGTAGCCTTAAGGTCACAACACTATGTCAGAACTTAAAGAAAATTCAAATATTTCTTGGTCTCACATAAAGGAATGATTTTATTTCCTATCATAACTTTTTTAGTTTTCAACAGCAGGCCACTTATGATTTATATATCAGGACACTGGTTTCTTTTGTTACATAGCTCAATTATAATGAAAGGAATTTTAAATTTTGAAAATAGAAATATCTTTCTATAATATTGTAAGTTGTATTTTATATTTTCAGAGTCGCTGGGTGGTGCCACTGATTATTGTGCTTGATCATTAACTGAAAGGTTGGCAGTTCAAATCTATCCAGAAGTACCTCAGAAGAAAGACCTGGCTATCTGCTTCTGAAAGATCACAGTCATTGAAAACCCTACTCTTACACATTCCCATGGATTGGAATCAATTCCATGACAACTGGTTTAGTTTGATTTCATTAGTGCAAGTGATTCATGCACTCAGTGGCTAACTTAAAAACTGCATGTTCAGTCCACTCAGTGGAGCCCAGGAAGAAAGGCCTGGCAATCTGTGGAAAAAATCAGCTATTGAGAATCCTGTGGAGTACAGTTCTATTGTGACATACCTGGGGTCCTCATGAGTCAGAGTAATTGATGACAATTATTTTTATTACTATGTGTTTATCAGTTAACTTGTTGATAAGAGTTATTTTCTTTTCATGTGTTCTGGGTCGATTTATCAATAGATACCATTTATAAATGGGAGCTCTGGTAGCATAGTGCCTAAGGCACTTGACTGCTAACCAGAAGGCTGGAGGTTCAAACCCATTAGCCACTCCTTGGAAGGAAGATTGGGCAATCTACTTCCATAGCGATACCGCCTGGGAAAGCCTAGGAGGGGTCGCTATGAGTCAGGCCGACTCGATGGCACATAACAACCATAAATGGTAGACCCACTTTCTATATTTGTTGGAAAATACTTCCTGCTTTATTAATACTTTTCTCTGATGTGACACTTTACTTATATGACTAAATTTTATTTTAAACTGCTTAACCTAGCAGGCAGGCAGTGAACCTGGGAAAAAACAATCAGTAGGAATAAAAAACTAGATTTATGATATAAATATGCTTATACTTATACATGCATATTTAAATGGGCTCATTGCAATTGTTTTCCTAGATTTTCAAAGAAATACATGGTAATACTGAATTATTTTACATTATTAAAGAGATAATGCTATTTTAAATAGAAAATTAATAATGTGAAATAGATCTCAACATCTTAAGATATAAATATAAACAAAAATAAGTATACTTTACCTCTTCACTGGATGAGAAAAATTTCTAAAACAATAAAAACAGTGTTACTGTTAGATTTTATATCACTAAAAAAATCTATATTTACACATCTATTTACAACTAGAGTAAATAAGACGGAAAAAATACTTCGTGACTTGGAATTTTCTTTCTTAAACAGTATGGTTGTCCAACTTCTCAGTTTTTTGTTGACTATGTTGCAATTCATAAAAGCTTTATAGTGGTATGACGGGAAACTTCTTGTTGTTACGTGCCGTGGAGTCGGACCCGACTCATAGCGACCCCTCCTTGGGTTTCAAGGTAGTATCACTACAGAAGTAGATTGCCCAATCTTCCTTCCGAGGAGTGGCTGGTGGGTTTGAACCGCCAGCTTTCTGGCTAGCAGTCAAGTGCCAGGAAACTTGGCATACCAAAAATTTTATTACACTATAAAGAAAGTGCAGTTAATTAATGCTTCTATTCACTGAAAATGAATACTCTATGGTAAAAATCTTTAGCACAAATATAGTTTTATTCTACCAATAATTTTCTAGCAAATCAGAAAAGAGTAACATTAATATTTTAGCAGCTAAAGTACACAATTTTGTGTTATAAACAAATCAGTTTCTAAATATAAAACACACCTTGGTAGCACAGTGCCTAAGGCACTTGACTGCTAACCAGGAGGCTGGTGGTTCAAACCCACCAGCAACTTTTCGGAAGGAAGGTTGGGCAATCTACTTCCGTAGTAATACTGCCTCAGAAACCCAAAGAGAGTCGCTATGAGTCGGGTCCAACTCGACCGCACATACAACAACAAGGTAAAACATACACGCACACACACACATATACATATCAACAACAAAAAAGTTTTACCTCCTGAGTGAAGGGGAAACGCTTCTAAAAACAAAGGAAAAAATCTATTTTAATTCATTTCAAAATACCTGTACTTAGATTTCATATTGTTAAGAATTTGCATAACTTTATAATTATTATAATTTATTTTTAAAAAGTAAGTCACCAGTATATACTATTCGTTTATTGTTATTATTATCATCATCATTTTATGTTTTTGATCTACATAACTAATGACATTCAGAAGTTGTAATTTGGCTGGATGAATTTTGCTTTGTAATTTTCTATATTTACATAAATCTTCATCGTCTGAAAGAGGACTCAGCTTCATATTCATATATCTGGGTAGAGAATGGTATATGAATAAGAAGTTGAATACTCTTTCAGATGATAAAGATTTATGTATATGTAGAAAATTACAAAGCAAAAATTATGGCAGTGAGGTTTTTTTTGGGGGGAGGAGGTAGAGAATGAGATTTTTCTGATTTACATTAAGATAATTCAAACCTGTTGCCAGATTTTGTCGGTGTTGTGTGTATGTGTTTGTGTTGTCTGTTGCCACCTCTTTACAGTTCCAGAAAGGCCATATATCAATTTTTCTCCAATTAGAATGTTTATATCCATTTAGACTCCATTGAAGTCATTAAATTTCATAAAGTACAAGGATGTGACCACGTAACCAATGATGGGACTTCATTACTAGAAGAAGCCAATGTTTGATAACTTGATAATGTAATCAACTATTTGAAAGTTTTCTACAAGAAATTCTAGTTCTCTATATGTTTTTTAACTTCTCCAACCCACTGTCTTTCAGAATTCTCCTCCTTTCTTCACTGTTATCAATTTCCAGGAATTAAAACCACATTATTCTCATTTTAAAAATTTGTTTTGGGTTATTGGGTAAAACAAACTTCATGCCCACTAATATGTCTCTGCTATACCATAATAAACACCATAATAACAGATTAACACTAATATGTCCCACTATTATTTGATAATTATCCAATTGCTACAATTTTTAAAGTCTACTTACTCACCTTTTTTGCAAAAGCAACACACACGATGCAGGCCCAAAGAAGAAGCTTCATTTTGATTGATCCTAAGAACATTAATATTTAAAAACTGTTTCAGAAAATATACACTATATTTTAAAATTATTTTTCTTCTAGAGAAAGACACATGAATGCATGAGTTTATGGTTCTGAGCTATGAAGACCCTGAACAGATAATTTGGTCCTGCTATTTAGTTATTGTCAGTATGACTTAACAAGAATAGAACTAATGCCCAAATTATTTTTTTTTTTTTGGCAGAAAAAAACCTGAGGCAAATCCATGGACATTGAATCAATTCTGACTCATAGTAACCCTGTAAGACGTGGTAAAACTTCCTAATAGGGTTTCCAGGTCTGTTACAGAAACATTCTCCAGCTTTCAAACGGCTGTTCTTCTGGTTAGCAGCTGGAAGCTTTAACCACTGCATCACCAGTGCTCCTTTGGGCAGATATCCTTCACAATTGGTTTGTGACTAAGCTGTCTTTAAGTGGAATTCACTTGGGGATACATTTTGTACCCAACTTGTTCTCGAGGGCTTACCAGGTAATAAAATTGCTTGGAAGTACCCATTCTATTTATGGCTTCAGTGGAAGATTAGTATCATGTACTTGGAAAAATTTCCAGGCTTAAAAGTTTTTGTCCTTATGCCTTGTGGCATAAACCTTTAGGCCTTTGATAACTAATTTTTCCTCCATCTCTGAAAAGTAGTAAGGCAGCCATATATTTAGATGTGTTTTTTGATTAGGCTGTTAATTTTCATCAGAGAATATATAATCAATCTCTAGTTGGCTGATTATTAAAACATTACAATCTCCACTTTGACAAAATATATATACACAAAGATATTGTTATAGCATAATTTCACGATCTTGTGGAAATGTGAAATAATAAAAATGCCCAGCAAGGGATGTTTTATTAAGCAGTTAATGGCATAGCCAAACAAAAATATGCTATTTGGCCAGTAAAATATGGTATAAATATGTATTTGTTAACATAAAATCAGGTTCATGATCTATCGCTAAATAAATATTTAAATGTTAAGTATCATTTAATTATTATTATACCAAACCAAACTCACTGCCATGGAGTCGATTTCGACTCATAGCAATCCCCACTGGGTTTACAAGACAATAAATCTTAATGGAAGTAGATTGACCCATCTTCCTTCCATGGAGTATCTGGTGAGTTTGAACCACCAACCTTCTGGTTAGCAGTCAAATGCCAGAGCTCCAACTATTATTATAGGTAGTTTCTAATTAGATGATCGAGTGTTTTAATTTTTCCATGGTCTGTACATTTTTGTAAAATGAAAATGTATCACTTGTATGCTAAACATATTTTAATAATATGATGAAGTTCCAAGTGTTTTGATAAGAGGCTTTGAGTGCTTTCATGTTTAAAAATCTAGGTGGAAAAAAATATTTATTGAAAAGGTCTAGAAATTTTAAACACTATCCATTTCTCTAAAACCAAAACCAAACGAAACTCATTGTTGTCGAGTCAAATCTGACTCATAGTGACCTCCCCTCCTTGGGTTTCTGAGGCAGTATCACTATGTAAATAGATTGCCCAACCTTCCTTCCCAGGAGTGGCTGGTGGGTTTGAACCGTCAGTCTTCTGGATAGCAGTCAGATGGCTTAGTCACTACACCACCAGAACTCCCATATGTGTGTGTGTAAAACACAGAATTATTTTTAAGCAGTCTATTCCTCATTGCAGAGTATTTATGACCTAAATAGTAACAATATAAAGTTGACAATGCCAATCTTCTTTCTAAATTTATTGCTTTCATTACTATACTACTTGGGATTCTGAAACAGGAAACTTTAATTGGCTGAAGCCAAATTTTCACAAATAATTTTCCGAATAATTAAATAGAATTCTTCCCTTACCCCTGTTATTCTTCTTTTAGGAATCTATCAATGGTTCACAACTACAAATCTAGAAATAAAGAACTATTTGAGACAATGAATATATACCTTTTATAAAGAATATAAAAATAATGTCTTTTCCCATCAGAATAATTAACAGCAAATGAAGAAAAATGGATAATAATTTTAGAATCTTTACAAAATTCAGGAATGGGAAAAAAAAAAACATATTTTCAGTCTTTTAAAAGTGCTTCTTAGTCTCTGACTGTCTCTCCATTATACTCACTGTGTGGTAGAGTAGATAACAAGACCCTGAGCGTCCAACCTCTGCAAACCAGGGAAGAGTACAAATATGCATTTATTTATAGGCAATCTATTAAGTTTTATTTAACTTAGATTCAGTAAAGAACATTTGAAACAAGGGAGAATTTTAATATGGAAAAGAAAAAAATACCTTGTTTCCAGGATGGAAACTAATGCCCGCAGGTCCTGGTATTGATCTGGACAATATGTCTCACGTCCTTTTTACCAGAGGCATTTATAAGAAGTCCTAAATTTAATGCTAGATCTTTTGTTTTGAAATAAATCAGCATCAAATCTGAAAAAATAAGAACATATCAGTTGGATGGATTTGACCATGAAATTCACTTATTTTAGTGAACTATAAAAATAGGGAAGTTATTTTCCATAGTATGACACTAAAAGACAAATTTGGGAGCTACTTTAAACTTAATTCCTAAATATAACTTTGCAAATATTTATTATTTGACTGTATTATGGCATTGATTAGAAAGTATAATGAAGGGATCTTATGCTTTACTGCATCTTAGGTTAAGCATGGGATATATTGGAATAGGATAAATGTTTTTTTAAACTGTGTGGTGCTTCTTCCTGCATTACTTTTATAAATATGACTTTTCTCCTATGAATAAACATTAAAAACTGAAAGAGCCTTTCTACTCTGATATCATTTTTGACAAAAGAAATATTCCAGTAATATGTAATATCAAATAAAAATGATGATAAGACATAGTACTGGCTGGTAGTGCCTGACTCATATATCTGAATAATATTAAATGCCTTTTAAGATAATAATAGCAGCTGTAGTATTTGTCAGGAGATAAAGAATATTCTCTTCCTAACACATAATTTTATACCTTTTGAACTAGATCAACCAGAACAGTTACACTAACTGCCTCACAGAGGAAAAATTGCTCGAGTTCAAACATAAAAATAATCACTTCATTATGAGGTACTTAGGAATACATCTAACCAGAGACACAAAAGACCTACACAAAGAAAACTACGAAACACTGCCAGAAGAAACCAGAAGAGCCCTACATAAATGGAAGAATATACCATGCTTATGATTAGGAAGACTTAATATTGTGTAAAAATCAATACTACCCAAAGTGCTCTACAGATATAATGCAATCCCAGTACCAGACTCCATCACCTTTCTTTAAAGGATGGAAAAAGTAATCATTGACTTTATATGGAAAGGAAAGAGATCTCAGATAAGTAAAGAACTACTAAAGAAGAAGAATAAAGTAGGAGGCTTCACGCTCCCCAATCTGAAAACCTACCATACAGCATGGCAATTAAAGCAACCTGGTACTGGCACATAGACCAGCGGAACAGAATTGAGAACTCAGAAATACATCTATCCACCTATGGAGGGCTGATCTTTGACAGAGGGCCAAAAATTCATTAGGTGGGAAAGAGATAATCTCTTTAATGCATGGTGCTGGCAAAATTGGATGTCCATTTGCAGAAAAATGACCCAAGACCCATAACTAACACAATATACAAAAATAAACTCAAGTTGGATCAAAGACCTGAACATAAAAATCTAAACCCATGAAAACCAACAAAGAAAAAATAGGGACATACATAGGGGTTCTAATTCAGGGCATAAATACACTATTGACTATAACTAAAACTGCACACACACTAGAAGACAAAATGGGTGACTGGGATGTCCTAAAAATTAGGCACTTATGTGCATCAAAACATTTCACTGAAAGAGTAAATAGAGAATCCACAGACTGGGGAAAAATAATTGGCAACAACACGTGGGGCAAGGCGTAAACCTCTAAAATTTATAGAAAACTTCAATAACTTAGCAACAAAAAGACAAATAATCTAATTAAAAAAATGGGCAGAGGACATGAACAGGCACTTCACCAAACAAGACATTCAGACAGCTAACAAACACATGAAGAAATGCTTACACCATCATTAGCCATTATAGAGATGGAAATCAAAACAATGAAATATCATCTCATTCCACACTAACAGCAAAATTAAAAATAATAATAATAATGAAAAAAACACTAGAAACCAACAAATCCTGGCAAGGTTGTGGAAAGACTGGAGCCCTCATACATTGCTTCTGGGACTGTAAAATGGCATAACTTCTGTGGAAAACAATATGGTGCTTCCTTAAAAAGCTGGAGATGAAATATCATATGATCCAGAAATCCCACTACCAGGCATATATTCTAGAGAAACAAGAGCAGTGACAAGAACAGATATATGCACACCTGTGTTCACTACAACACTATTCACAATGACAAAAACGATGGAGACAACCTAAGTCCATCAACAGATGAATAGATTAACAAGCTATGGTACATACACACAGTGGAATACTATGCACCTTGCTAAAGAACAGTGATGAGTTCACAAAACATCTCATAACATGGATGGATTTAAAGTCCATTTTGCTTAGTGAAGTTAGATAATCACAAAAGGACAAATATTGTTAAGACCATTATTGTAAAAAGTCAAGAAAAGTGTTTCGCAAATAAAGAAATACTCTTTGATGGTTACTAGAGGTAGGTGGGGAAGGGAGGGTAAACCACTAGCTAGAGGGTATATACATATTAACTTGAGTGAAGAAAAAAATATCCTATTGAGAACAGTTCTACTCTGACATAAATGGGAGCACCATGGGTCAGAATCAACTGAAAAATTGAAATTTAATTCTGCGCTGCATAAGAATGTAAATCTACGTACTCACCTAGCATAGTTCCTGGAGGTAACAAGCAGTAAAAAGGTGTGTTTATCTTATCCAGACAACCTAATAAGCTAGAAAATATGTGCCCTTAAAACTTATATTTCTATTTATGTTCATTTATTGCATATATCATTAAAACATA